GTTTTGAATTATAAGCCCCTAAAGCAGTAATTAAGGGTGTTTTTAGGAGGTCATACTGTTGCTATGGTAACCTATTGTATCACGAAAATGATAACAACGTGTTCACCAGTGATTGGGCAGTTTTTAGGTACCATGATTGTAGCATCAAGTTATAAAGAGTGGTTATAACGACCCATCAAAATCTAAGTGTTGGAAACCGTTTAGAGCCACCTTAAAACCCACTGGGAATTCAAAATGTAAATAATAAAGAAAAAACGAAAGGAATTCTGGTAGTTGTAGTCAAATGACGACAGCATGCAAATCTCTATTAAATGACAATTATTTCTTACCAGTATTTCAATTTTGCAGGTTTAAGTAGTTCAGTTGGTGTAAAGGTTCATGGCATGGTAAATTTAACTCTGCGTTCGTTTGGTTTCAGGGTCTGCAAGTGATAGCGACTTCAGTAACGTGGATTGAACTAGCTTCTTCAAACTTTCTCTGCTATTAAAAGGTTTTACTAAGTTTATCATGTGACCCGTTGTCTACATTCATTGTGTCTGAAGCTTGAGTATCTTGTCTGTAAAAGGTTCAGACAAGATAGAGGGTATTAATCTAGTATTCAACAAAGGCGAAGTAAAGTGTTTAAAGGAAACAGATTTGTTTCTAAAGCATCTCAATGTTTCGGTGCATTCCAGGGAAAGCACAACTTACTGGTTTACCGCGGGAGACCGGTCAGTTAAGTGACTTGTTATACGGCTGTTTCGAGAAAGGTCCAAGGAAGGCCTTAAAAAGCGTACACAATAATACAGGGTGTATTATTGGGTAGGAATTGTTTATTGTTTGAAGCCCAAGCTGTTTCAGGGCACGGTAATAAAAGGCATGGATATCCCTTTTCTTTCTACCGCATTCTCCCACCTACAACGGTACAGACATCCATTTATCGTTCATGGCACTCTGAGTGTCAACAAGCCTATCTTCTTCCTTCTCTTGAAGAACCACGGTGGAACTAAACCCATTGTACGTTGTAATTTAGTTCATATAAGCCTTTTCTAACTGCCAAGGCCCGGAACATCAAAAATCATAGAGAAACTGTATACCACTAGATTTCTTACCTATCTCCACTTCTCCAGATGATACACCATTTAGGGCTGTTTTAAAAAACAAAACATGTTAGTAAGCCTAGTAACAGTCAATTTAATAGAGCTCAGCAAATGAACAAATTGCCATGCTTTTGCAATAGACTTAAAACTTTTTATCGAGTACGAAGTACGACGCCGGCTCTGGCGCGAGTAGAGGTTTGACAACCCACCACAAACGAGTGAAATACAGGCTGTCATCTGTCGCTCCACCTAACCATCGCCTATGACGGCTTGTGGCCACAAAACAAGCTTCGTGATCTATCAAGAAATTCCTTCCTCCCCTTCCCCCCCGCCAAAAAAGAGGACCTTGTATAGACCGCCAGCTTCTCAGTCGCAGTGTTGTCAATACTTTTTTCCATTATCAAATATGAAAGTAAGCGCCCCTTTTCCGGGAACTTATGGACTTTATGCATGTTATTATGTGAGTTTGTCTATTCGACCATTTTATTTCATTTCGGCTTTGTTATTATTCTGTTTCCTGTTTCGGCGCATTAGATTAATCATTCAGCATTGCTTTCAGTATATGAGACCCACTTGGTTAATTTCTGTGTGTTTGATGTGAGTTCAGTAAACATCTGCTAATATTTCTGCCAAACGAAAAGTGAATTGTGAGCATAAATTAAACGCCTTTTGTTGATAATCGAACGCATTTTGCATATTAAAATTGCTTTTTGATTTAGAAAAAAAACAGCTGCCTTACACGACATTATATTTTTATACCCTGGATTCATCAGTTTGGCTGCCTCAACCTATTTCTCTCTAACAGTGAAACCTGAATAATCACAAACAGTGATCAAACGTGAATGGGAATTTAGTGCAACGACGGTTTCAACGAACGAATAGGCGTGAATCAGCTGACAGGAAGACATTTGTTTTGCTGTTCGCAGATAAACGGCGAACTCTCTTATAATGAATTGATTGGTGAACCAATGATTCATAAGCAGTAGATAGTGAGCACGCTTTGAAAGCGAGCTGTCTGACATAAGAGACTCGACGTTTCTCGCTGCGGTTTTCTCGACGATCACCGAACAATCCGAATGATGAAAATTTTTGCTGTCACTCAGGTTTGTGTGGTTCTTGTAGCGTCACTGAGGGCAAACGAAGGTAAGTTACAAATGATTACTCCGCTTCGATACGCACCTTTCAAATATATATATAATGTACGAGGCAGATTAAAGATGCGAAGTAAAAACATGACTTTTCAAAGTTCATCATTTCACAACTGGAAAGATAGAACAGAATGTTACGAGTTGTAGTTAAAGTTAACTTCAGTTAATAGCTGGTATATGACTGATGTTGTTCTGGTTCTTTTTATGCGATGCTGTGAAACCTATTTAGAAAGTCGTCATTGCCAGATTTTAAACCCGTTATTGAGCAGTAGAATATTTGTCAGTGAACTGATCCATTGCTCACTTGATCAAACTACGAAACATGAAAATTCAAGTATGTGATTGACGATTTTTCAGTGTGTCACTGCACTGTAGAACTGAGTTTCTTTGTTTGGTTTCACGGAAGGAAATGAAGACAACAATATCGACCCTATCTCGTGATCTCTTTCAAAGCCATTAAGCTGAATAAGTAAAGTGCAATGAATAATTCAGTTTGTTGGCGCCACAGTGAAGTCTATATAACTTCATCGGTTTTTGCCATATTTCGGGTAGAAATCATCAGAGACGCCCCGTTTCTTGTATAAATATATAGGTTACTTTTAGGAATTCAGTGTTTCCATGTAAGGGAGCGAGCGACGCCAGACAACGTTGCCCGTTTCTCTACATTTGTAAGAAAGGAACTTTAAACCATTTATCCCAAGAAGTTTAGTTATGTTGGTCAGTGTAGTTACGATTTTGATTTGTCAGCGGGTCGGCATCATATCATTAGCCGAGGACATCTCAAGCCTCTGGAGGAACCTTTGTTCACAGCAGCTGTAGAACCAGTCGAAGCTGATCTGAACGGTGAGACTCCGAAATACCTGTTGCAGTACGGAAAAGCTTCCTGATTATTGATTTCAGTCGACGAGAATATCTCTTTTAAAAACACTTGTATCTTGATTTTTCATTTAGGGGCTGAAGAGAAGAAGGATGAAACACTTGAAATAAATCAAGGTACGATCAAGGTACCACATTAAAGAAATGGTTATTTTGCAAATGTACGAAAATCATTATCACAGGAGCATGTGAACAAAAAGCGTAGACCTTAAAGTTTGTTTCATTTTTTTCGTTTATGCCGCTCCTGTGGGTCATTTTATTCGTTTCACAAAAATAAAGTCGCAAATTGCCTTTTCCAAATCTGTGAATAGAAACATGATACCTAAATATTTCAACTAGTCACTCCCCAATGGGGCTTTTAGAGCTAATGTCAGCAAATTCTGAAACAAACCTCAGTACCCACTAATAATCTCAACAAATATAGGATAGTGAGTACGTTGATTTAAATTTTGATAGCTTCATTCCTTGGTGACATTAGATTTCGTGGGAAAGAGCATTGGTTGAACGCATTCATTGAAGCTGGCGATTGAACTAAAAACAAGTGAAAAAGATCATGTCTTAGAAAATGTTTCCCAAGCGCAATGCTAACTTCTCATCTGCCGCTTCTCTCTTTTGTTATTATAAGGCTCTTGACGCCCGCAACAACAGTCACGATTCTACAAATTTCAAAACAAGCTAGCAGGTGCTTAACTGGGCTGAACTGCAGTTGACATTAAAGTATTACAGAAAACTACAACTATTACCTACAGTTAGGATAAAGATCCCTCCCTGAGTAGATCTTAACGTTGTTTACGAACTCAGTTGTCCGTGTTGTTCATGTTAACAGTAAAACGAACAGAACTCTCTTTATTCGAATTCCAGAGCTCACCTGCATCAGTTAAAATAGTGCAATCAGTGCTAATTAAGAAATTTTTGAACAATTTGGGTATACCTCGCGAGGTTTTCCCCTGTTACGTAAAAATGCTGTTCCAATGACCACTGGAAATCCCAGTAATTGAAACCGGAATTTTTGGTGGAATGGAAGGGGCGATCTGCACCATTTACAATGCATTGTTTCCACCTTAGCTGTAATTTTTTTCACGATACACCAATTTCAGTATATTAAATTTTAACTTGGCTCTGAGGGCCGTGGCTTACGAGAATGAAACAAAAGAAACCAAATCGAGGTTGAGGGATGAATAATTGATGTATTTTGCTTTATTCCCTTAAGCCTCGGAGCCAAGTTAGAATGTGATAGATCGAAATTAGCGTATGACCTGTACGTTTTCGTGCGCTGCACTGTAATTTAGCAGGTTTTTTTTACATTTTGGACACAATGACAGATTAACCAGAGTACAAGATCTTCATCTAAAAACCTTCAAAGCTAATTCTTCCGATGAGGCAAAGTTCGTGGATTCAAATCATATCGATGCCATTTTTTCGGGTATTGCAAATAGCTGACAGGATTTTCTCGTCATTTTGTACAACATTATTCTTAGATTACAGGAAATTTCGCCTGATAAGCACTTGACATACACAGACGGTTTCCGGAACATTGATCCTCACCAGGCTAATTCACACATACAATCTTCCGGTTTCTTTTAAAAAAAAAATACCATTGGGAACTAAATATATCACCCAATTTCAAACAGAGCATTTCGTAACGAAACATTTACTTATATTAGCTTATGCTAGCATCACAAGTATCACCATTCACCATCATCAGGCTCAGGTTCTTTTGATTTTATCATGCAATCAGTTTGCCCTTCATTGCCTTCTGAATATGGTTTTTGTGCTGTTTTTGCGCAAAAATGGGTAACGTCTACATGCAAGCCACGTGGCCCATCAGGCCGGAACTTATCTGCGGTTTCTGTTGGATAAAACGACTACAGTAAAACTTGTATTAAGCGGACCCCATATTAAGCGGACACGCTCTATTACGTGGACACCAGCTTGAGTCCCTAAATTTTGTTCCCACTTTCACTGTAAAATAACCCTGCATTCAGCGGACACGACTATGTGTGCTGTGATTGCGAAAATTCACGCCACTTTATTTTCACTTGGGATCTCGACACTCTGTGTCAGGCGCAGCCTCGAGCAGGTTTTTTGGCATCGAAAACTAAAGCAAGTTTTTGCAAAGCAAAACGATGCTGTGTTTGAGACGGGGATGAAAAAACCGAATTGCTCGAAGAGGCTTGGCGGGAAGAGGTATAGTGAGGATTGAGCTGAAAGCTCAAACGTAACGGTTCTGCGAAGCAGAAATACCGTTGGTCTCGTTTTCGAGTGTCAAATTCAAGTCGTGATTACCAAGTGATGGGTTTCAAGTTATGGGTTTCATGGGATGGGTTTTTAGCCATTAAAAAAATAACAAAATAATTTCAAATACTGCACATCGAGGGTCGATGTATGGTATCATAAAATTGTTCTTATTCGTTACATCTTTGTAAAATATGATATGCTAATGCTTCTATCAAGTTGTTAAAAGTTTTAAGTACATTTTGATCGATTACACTTGACAGTAATTGAATACCATGTTTTATATATTTGAGATAAGGGATTTTCATATATTATTTTATTCGTTGTTTAATCAAATGATAATGTAAGTTCTTTTATTTTATTGTTTAAAGTGTCCCACACTGTGGGACTCTTAAAATGTTCAGCGTTGCAGAGTCCAAGACCGGCACAACTATGCCGTGACGTCACATTATGTGTCCCACGTTGTGGGACTTTTAAAATGTTTAGCGTTGCGAAGTCCAAGACCGGCACAACTATGCCGTGACGTTACATTTTACAAGTATTACAAACACAGTCTACTTCATGAGTCCAAGGCATTGCTTCAGTTGTGGTAGTCTGCGAATATGAAAGCCGCGTTTTGATGGTAAAAACCATCGCTGATTTCCACGTTAACAAGTGTCGTAAGTGTCTTCTACTCTCAGCCATTTTAAAATGAAACTGATCTAAGACCTTCTGAATTCTCTTGATATACAATTGATCTTTTAGGGGAATTTTCCCTTACCATAATGATTGGTGGAAAAAATCATATGACTTTCTCGTGACTTTGATGACTCATTTCCGAGGGAAAGTCCCGTAGTAGACATCCTGATGTCATCCGGTCTTTCCGACAAATGTCACGTAATCACGCTGAGAGGCTTTATTCGTTTGATGCATGTATAATATATAAAAATAATTGTCGGAAAGTAATATATTATTCATCATATCTCTTCTCGAACTCTTCTTTATTCTCCTTATGCTTCATTGTTAGTTTATGTTGGACTATATATGCTAACAAATAATNTAATTTTTGTTGAGCTTTTAACAAAAGATAAATTATTTTTTTTCGATAATTTATTCAATTCTGATTTATTCATCACTACTATATTATAGTTAGATATTTTATATTCATAATTTCTATTTTATACATTATTATGTATAAATGTCGGTTTCCGTTTAAGCTTTTTTCAAAAGCTCTGTTTTGCCACTTGGTGAATGATGTTTTGATTTGTGGAGGCCTGGGACAGTCCATTTTATGCTGTTTCTGAAACGAAGCATTTTTTGATTTCTAGAGGCCTGGCGAGAGTATTTTTGATCATGAAGCGGCTCTGCGAAGTGTTTCTGGCAGAAGGATTTTTTTCATTTGTGGAGGGCTGAGAGACATGAAATTTGCTGACGAGAGGGCTTCATACGGAAGTTGCTCTGAGAGGCTTGAAAATGCATTTTTCGAGTTGGGGCCCGGCGAGGGTATTTTTTTGATTTGCGATTGCTGTTGGAGGGCATTTTTTTGCATAATGCGCTCGTAGCGCCATTTACTATACTACTTCCATAGACTGTTTTGCGTGTTATTTATGATATTTTGTGGTTTTGTTCAGGCAAAAGCTCTGAATTTAGGAGTTCTTCCTATAATTGTTCATCCAGCTCCACGTTGTGGTCATCGTTGCTTTATTTGCGATGTTCTCAGGTTTTCTTGCGACTGTTAATAGTCCTTCTTCTGTTAGTCCTTCTCTTGTCGTTCAGGCAATACCGCAGTTTCGATCGTTCTGGATCTCATAAGTTGCCGATAGCAAGGAGTGATGAAGACCAATGCTCGGTAACACTCCGCACCTGGCGTATTTTTTTGAGATTATATACTCGTTCGGCGGATCAAGAATTCCGGATTGTGATCGGTAGTTTTGCCGCCAGCGAGTGGTGAGCATTAAGTCTTCGATCCCATTGTACACAGTATGACACTGTTTTCTATGATGGCTATAATGGATATTTTCTTCAGCATGTGTTAAGTTTGAATTTAAGGATAAAGCGTGAGATAGTCATGCGTTGTTATTATACAGCTTATCTTAAAGTTTTTGAAGAGTAGTGTAGGGTATTTTGCACGTATTTCGTACGTTTATCCTTTGTTTTTAGTGTAGCTAATGTACACCTTAAACTCACATGCTGTGATTGGATTAAGTTTGTACTCGCATGTGATAGGACGAGGGCCGCCTGGTAAAAATCATCAGTGATAACAATAGGGTGACAGGCCTGGAACAACTCCTATCCACGTGTGAACTGGTAGACTGAAGTAACTCGATGCAGTTGCTGATATAATACGCACTAAACAAAACGAGAACTGGGAAATCTTACGCAACGAATCACATGATGATCGAGGACTTAAATTTTTAGTCAAGTGTAAAGCATGTAAGGGAAATTTCACGCTCGTTAAAATCCTACATACCGGCCTTTAAATTTGAACTCAAAGCATTTAAACATAGTTGAGTCACTCAAACGGAAAAACTTGAGTAATATATTGTCACTAAATCCATTCGGAACGGTTCATCACAATCAAGGCAATGAAGAAACAACTGTTCTAGGACGTTAGAAGCAAACGCCTTGGTTGAGGACATCAAGATCAACAATGTTAAGCTACTCTCGTAGAGTCTAGTCTAGTCGCACATCTGAATAAAAGGCAGGGAGGGTATGATCGCAGGTTAAGGAGCCTCTAGAAAAACGATGTTGTCGATGGGACGTTCTAGGGCTGCGGACTTGGTTTTTATAGTGGGACTCTCATCACAAGCCCGTCTCTCTTGTCTGGTTTAACTTCCAGGCTGCGACCAAGGGGCCAGAAGTTTCTTGGGGAATTCTCGTCTACCATGAGTACAATGTCTACAGCTTTAAAGTTACATCTTTACCTTTGCAGTGATTGCCTTCTCACTATAGCAATGCAACTCCCAGATACTGACTTTTCAAAACAAACTAACCGAATGGACTAAATATAAGTATAAGACCTATTTTAAATAAATAGTTGTTGTAATGAATTTTCGAGTGTCCTTAATTTTTCTTTTAGGTTTTCATCGTTTATATTGCCCCTTGTTTAAATATATGATTTTTGTCACAGAACAACAACAAAGTGACAGTCGAGGAAGAACTGGTTATAAAATGCCACCCCCTAAAGGTCCACTGAGGGACATAAAGTCACCAAGAATCTCGTTAGATGAAGGTAAATCTATCTTGTAAGCTTTTGGCTACGATTACTGAGAGATTCCTATGTTTCCTTGAACCCTTAAAAGTTTCGCATTTTCTCGAGATCGAGAAGGAGAACGCCTTATTAAGAGCTATATCCACATCGTACTCCTATTCAATCTCGTACTCGTAGTCCAACTTAAAGGTCCCTAGTGTATCAAAAACGATGCTGTTTGAGCGTATGAACAGACATGAAATTTAAATAATTTGTTGACAGGCAGTACCACTTGTGGTCGGACTTCAAGTTCTTCTTCACGAGTTGTCAATGGCGCAGACGCAGCAGTTGGAGAATGGCCATGGCAGGCTCGCTTGCTGTTGAACAACAATCATCTTTGCGGAGGGACACTAATCATGCCAGAATGGGTGATGACGGCTGCTCACTGCGTGCTAGACGATGACAGCAGTAAGTATGAGGTGATCCTTGGTGATATTGATCGCAACAAGGTTGAAGGAACCGAGCAAGAGTTTAAAGTGAGACGTATTATCAAGCATGGTGTATTCTCACACCCAGTTCCGTATGAAAATGACATTGCGCTATTTCAACTCTCTGGCCAAGCTAAATTAAACGACCTAGTGAAGACGGCTTGTTTACCTGAATTTCTTGAAGACGTGCCTGTTGGAACGGAATGTTATATAACAGGTAAGTATTGTGATGTTCACTAGTTCTTTAAGCTATTTTTCCAAAACATTGACACTATAAGGTCGATACGACCTTTATTACCTTGGATATCATTAAACCGTGGCTGTAGCTGTGACGATGACAAGAGCAAGTCACTATTTTTATATTAGAATTCGTGTCTTGTTCAAAGAGCTAAAGGAAATATAAATGTTTCATATTCTTCTTTCTCTACTCTATTTAAGAAACTTTCGATGTTGTCTGCAGTCGTGCACATTGCTCCGTTGTTTTTACCGAGTGAGACTGAAATGCTTAATTGACTGGTTATGCGGGTAGAGCTGCCATTGGCAACTGAAATTCTTGTAACCGTTGTAGGCTGGGGACAAATGTTTGGCAAAGGAGAGTCAGCTCCAATCCTACAAGAAGCACGGATGCCTGTAGTTTCAAATAGCGCATGCGCAGCAAAGCTGGATACTTCTCCGAAGGGTGGACTTCACACTGACAATCGTACTTGGATAGTCACGAGTAAAATGATGTGCGCAGGCGATGCTGGGAAGACTAAAACACACGGATGCTTTGGGGACAGCGGTGGGCCATTTCAGTGTAAGAAGACCGCAGGCCAGTGGGTAGTGCAGGGTATCGTAAGCTGGGGTGACCCTGATTGTTCGTCTAGTAACCATTACACAGTATTTACTCGGGTCAGTGTGTTCCGTAAGTGGGTTGATGATGCACTGGGAACTATCAGGAGCATGGAAAAAGGCAGTCTTAACAAACAAGTGAACCCAGGCGGAAAACAGTCACCGACAACCGCTTATTAAAGAGATAAAGGCAGTAAATATGTGTAGAACAAAAATCAGGACCCAAGGCGTTTAAAACCGGAGATCCCATTCTCTATATCTGATAACATAAATTATAATACGCTACGTCATATATGAAGGCGTACAACATGCCCGTATTTCTCGAGAATTTTGACTAGGAAAACTATTCAGAATAACACTACTGTTTAATTTGTTTCAAATGTTGTTCAAAAGTATATTATCTCTAGAGAAAAAACAATAAAAAAATTAAATAAAAGTACAAGTCAACGTACTAGTCGCAAGAACAACATGAAATATGAGGCACAGCGGCCTTGGCGGAGAACATGGAGTAGAACTTCAATGTAACAAATATCCTGTATAACAATGTTCTCGGTATAATGAAATCCCTCTTATAACAAAGGCAGTCCTTAAGCCCAAACATAACATCTACTCCGATATAACAAAAAAAATTATCAACAAATCAGCAGCGAAAGAATATTCCTGCGCTCCCTCTCTTCGTGAGCAGCCAAACTCCGCGAGACATTTATTAGACTCAATATGACTGACTTTTATCCGAACTCCAGCCTGTAAAGTTGATTCAAGATATTTTGGCAAATCATAGTAAGTAACTCATGATATATCATTTGGCTTACGCAAAGATGTCTCGGACAGTAGGAGGGTACTAGAAGTATTTTGTAAGGGAGCTTTTTAGCACACCACGACGGCCACAACAGGGAAAATGTCCGGGGGAAGGGGAACTATCATATAAAAGTATTGTGAGTGATAAACTTTACGCGTACGCACGCAAGAAAAGCGCGCGAACAAAGTACAAAGTAAACAAAGGCTTGCTGTGAAATATAAAAACCATTGTTTTAGCACGCGTATCTTTAATAGGCGGTAGAACCAATGTCACATGAAATGAAAGTTAATGTTCAGTCCGTTCGAGGAAATCGTTGCCAGCTTGAAGATTAATTTCATTTGATGCTGCTTGCGGCTGATGTTATTGCCAGAGCACTGTTTCAACCCAGGACCATGATGTCATCCAGAGAGTGAGCGCCGGAGTTAAATTTTTCAGCTACGGAAACGTCACGCCTTCGATTTCGAATGCTGCGGAGGTGTTCGTTGAAACAATCCTGTATTCGCCTTCCAGTCTTTTTGGTTTATAGGCAATTACAGCAATGACAAGAAATGCAATATGCAACATTATTATATGGCTTTGGGTTCTGGCCGATATAACGCGCGCTCTGATTGGCTAAGAGCGAGAGCTTAGCGGTCATTACGCAGCCGTAATGCCCACGGGCCGATTACGGATTATGGAAATTACGAGGAGCCCGGCTCTTAAAATTCCAGCGCATTGAAACGATGCAAGCCGATTAAAAACAGTAAGAGAAAGTAAAATTAATCCGAGTAGCTAAAAGTTTAGAGATTTTTCCTTAACAAAATTTTATGGGAGTCGTTTTTGAGTTACCAGCCGGTAACCTTGGTGAGCACTAGTGAAAAACAATCGAAGTTTATCGATTCTTGGGTAAAGCTAAAATCTCTAAGTGAAAAACACCATCGGCAGATCTGTCATGCATCCTGAGCAGAACACCACGAAGAAACTTAGAGTTATCATCTTAGTCACAACAATTACTGAAATAGTGAACTCCGCCACAGTTCTCATCAAACGATTAAACGATCATCAGAGATAACTGCAGGAAGTTCTGGACGTTCACAAGGCTTGAAAAGTTCATCCATAAATCCCAGAATGAAGAAGGCGAAGATATGTTGTCGAAAGCGAATGGCGAAGATCGAGTTATTCTGAGCAGTATATTCTGAAGCATTAGTTATTTCTTTCACAGAAACACCGTTGGTTTGGACTATTTTGAAGCACTGTCTGTCTTTTCTATGTGCGTTGACGTTTCGCCACAAAAGTCGGAAAAACTGCCCCATGAAGTTGTGGCACCACGATACTAAAATACCTTTTTGAGGCTGTGATAATCATTTTTCCGGTAAAGAAATGTATGTTTTTAACGGAATACGTTAAGTTCACTGACTCTGTAGTTTTGCCCTGGGTTTTAGACGATGAATGAATCGGTAAACGCGCGGATCGCCGGATGTAAATTGCCGACTTCCGCTTTAATAATTTTTTTTCTTTTCTTTAATTCATGGCCATATAATAAACAACTTAATTACTTCAACCGTTCGGTCGTTACGGGAAAATCTCAGACCTCGGCCTACCGTATTGACCTCGCTATCGCTCGGTAAATACTGCAAGGCCACAGTTTAAGATTTTCCCGTAGCGACCTCACTCTCGGTTATTAAGTAGTTATTCTAAGACTGACAAGGGAAGTGGTGAAGGATGTTGGGTCCGCTCTTTAGGCCTTTTTTTACTTTGTGCTTCGTGCGCGAGCTATCCGTGCGTGCCTACGCGTACAGTTTTTTTGATGACGTGGTTCAGTCATTCTTCGTATTGTAGAAGGGCTAAGCCTGAAGCGTTTAGGTTACAAGCCAATATTTGACACTTTTAAGGAGCGTCTCAATCCGTTTTTGCACAAATATACATTTCCAAGGCTTTGCAGCTTGAATTAGCTAAAACTGCGCTCTTGAGGCAATTTAAAGGAATATAGAGAAAATCGTCATTTAAACATGCAAATTTGCCCAAATCCACAGTTTTAAGACTTTACAACTGTTAGTAGACTAAACTGTAGTGCCGCGCCAATTGGGAGTTAAAAATCGAAAGTACTCATTTTACGTTCCTTTTTGCTTAATGTACTTTCAACTATTTGCAGCTTAGAGTAGAAAAACTGTGCTTTTGAGGTAAGTTATGAATCGAATCTCGCTTTTTTTTGTGCGATTTCACTCAAATGGGCAGTTTTAAGTCTTTACCAAAACGTCACGTCTCATAGCTCCTGCCGAATGTGAAGAGAAAAACAGACTGGAGCAGTTTGGGGCATCAAGAGAAACGATATTTTAACGAGCAATTTCGCTTATGCATCCATAGTTTCAAAACTTTACAGCTGATAGTAGCGAAAGCTGTATTTCTAAGGCAATTTTGGAGGTATAAGGCGACAATCATCATTTTACGTCTGTTTTTGCTCAAATGCGCATGTTGAAGTAACTCCAACTTCAAGTAACTAATACTGTTTTTCTAAGATAATTATTGGTATAGAGCAAAAATCGTTTTTTTACAACACCTTGAGCTCAACTGTGCAGTTTCAAGCTTTTACAGCTTGTCTTAGCTAAAACTGTATATGTAGGGCAACTGGGGGCTATAAAGCGCAAATTCTCGTTTTCGGTCTGTTTTCTCACAAATGTGCAGTTTCAAGTCTTTGTAACTTGTAGTAGATAAATTTATATTTGTAACGCGATTTAGATGTATAAAGGGAAAACATCATATCACGTCTGTTTTTTCTGAAATGTGCATTTTAAAGTATCTCCAACTTCAACTAACTAAAACTGTTTTTCTAAGGTAATTATGGGTATAGAGCGAAAATAGTCTTTTTACGACACTTTGAGCTCAAATGTAAAGTTTCAAGCTTTTGAGCTTGTAGTTGCTAAAACTACATATGTAGGGTAACTGGGTGCTATAAAGCGTTAATGGTCGTTTTAGATCCGTTTAGTCATAAATGCGCAGTTTCGAATCTTTACACCTTGCACTAGCTAAAGTGTATTTTTGAGGCAAGTTGCAGGTCTAAAGCAGAATTCGTCGCTTTATCTCCGTTTTGTTTCAAATTTGCAGTGTCAAGTCTTTTTACCTTGTAGTGACTAAAGCTGTATTTGTAAGGCGAATTGAAGGTATTTAAGATATAGACCACAAGTTTTTATGGTTTATAGGGCTAAAAACCATGCGGGATGTTAGAAAAACGCGAAAAAAATTTCTAAATTACGAGTCGCAGGTGAGTGATTTAATAAATTCTGGGGGTGTTCTTCCAACATCCCAAGTACTTTATATAAACCATAGAAACTTGTGCTCTATTGCTTTTATATATTAATTCAGAAGACACGCTAAATTTCCATAAGTTTTCTGGCACAACAAACCATAGCTGATTGACCAATGAGAGCGCGCGCATTTATTTAACTATCATATAAAAAGCGATAATCATCATTTTACGTTGTTTTTGCTTCAATGCGCATTTAAAAGCATCTCCAACTTCAAGTGGCTAAAACTGTTTTTTATTTAAGGTAATTAGGGGTATAGAGCGAAAATGTTCATTATACGACACTTTGCGCTCAAATGTGCAGTTTCAAGCTTTTAGAGCTCCATCTGTTTGGCAACTGGGCACTATAGAGCTAGAATCGTCGTTTTAGATCCGTTTACTCACGAATCTGCAGTTTCAAGTGTTTACAGCTTGTAGTAGCTCAAACTGTATTTCCAAAGCAACTTGGGGTATTTAGGGAAAAAAGAAGTTTTAGCTTCATTTCGTGTTAAATGTACCATTCTAAGACTTTACATCTTGTGGCGGCTAAAACTATTTGTAAGGCAACTATGATATAAACAAAAAATCGTTGATTTAAGTCCGTTTTTACACAAATTTCCACTTTTAAGGTGTTTACAGTTTGTAGCAGCTTAAACTGTATCTGTGAGGCAACTGGGAGGTATAAAACGAAAATCGTCGTTTTTGGTCTGTTTTCTAACACGTATGAAGCTTCAAGGCTTCATTGCTTGTAGTAGATAAATTTATATTTGCAAGGCGATTTGGAGGCATAAAGAGATAAACGGTATGTGACGTCTGTTTTTTTTAAATATCCATTTTAAGAGCTCTTGCCTAAAAGCATTGAGAATCTTGCGAAAGCGACTATTTTGGCACATTGCTCATATTTTACCTCAAGGAACCCTTTAGTGAAATGTTTTCAAAAATCATAATTTTAAGTTTGAGCGCTTTTTTTTTTGAAAAAAATTGCAAAGTTTTAAAATGCGGTCAAAGTGCGTTTTCCGCCCAGTGGAATGCCCCAAATGACACAAAAAGACGATGCTTTCGTAAAATCTTGATATTTAATGAAGTACTGGTAAATTTTACTCAGATATAAAATAACAATTCCTCTTTACGGCTAAAGTTAAAAGATATGTCAAATGCTCTATTATTTTACGTTTTTAAGTCATTTAAAAACACTTCCGGCGCCCGGTTGACAAGGAGCAAAATATTGGCTATTTTTCATAGGATAAAACCCTATCTGGTACCCAATTATTTTAGAATCAAACTCTACGGCTGAAAAGATTTCTCTTTTAACTGTTATCCTGTGAAATGTGAAAATCGAATTCGAACTGGTTCCCTTTGAAAAAACCTGGAATCTACGAACAATGTTTAGCAC